CCAGGTTTGTCTCGAACTCCTGACTTTAAGTGATCCACCCACCTCAGCCTCCCAAAGTGTTGGGATTACAGGCGTGAGCCACCACGTCTGGTCGAATTCCTCATTTTTGGTGATAAGAGTCACTTTTCTCACTCTAGTATAGGGAGAACACCTTTTTCAAAGGAAAATTTATGCCCTACTTTCAGGCAGATAAGAGGAGAGAGATCTCTTCTTGCTTCTGTTGACTCTCAATTGCTTTCAGCTCCAAATGTTCCTTATACCAAAATGACATATTTTGCAGTAGCATATTCTGATCCCCTTCACTTCCCTTACTCTTCAACTGCCAGGACCGGAAATCTAGCAGGCCCCACAGTAGCAAGGTCTTTTCTATAGCCATAAAGAACCTCCACTCAGATCTAGCTCCCAGGGTGGTTCTCAGACCCAGAGGAGTCACAGCATGTGACCCGGGTTCCTACATTCCACCCCTTCAGGGCATCTAAGAAGGAAACACAGAGAAGACACTCCTATGCCTGGGAGGAAGCCACTGAAGCAGCAAAGCCAGAGCGCTGGTGACTGTTAAGATCCACCCCAATTCCCTAACAAGAGTTCATGTTTTGGGGCGTGCTGCGGAGCGGCACTGCTTTCTCTGACAGCTGCCCTCCACTGACAAGTCTGGGATCAGGATCCTGTAATTACTCTAGTAATAAATGTCCCTAGGCTTTCTTTACCCAGCTAATAGGCCTGGGATGGAAACTTGATCCGGAAAAGCCAATCTAGAACCTGAGCCCAGACAATTTGATTTCCTCTCTGTGAATTTGGAATTGGCATGGAGATGGGAGATCAGGTAGCTACAGCCATTGGACCTAGAAGGCCATGCAGAGGAAGTAGGTCTGCAGAGAGAAGGTAGTAGATGGTCCAAGATGTCTAGGGCTTCAAGGGACAGTTCCTGACTCACCACTTCCAGCTTCCTCAAAGCCTGGCTGAAATTCTTGGAATTGGGTTGCATGATACTCCCCTTTTACTAAGTAATTCCAATGTTTCCGTTCCTGGGAGTCAAAAGACCAGACTAGGATGCTGACTTTCTCAGTCAAAAGACTCAGTCTGCCTTCATGACTTGTACAAAGTCCCTCAGGGCCTATGCAATAGGCCCAGAGCTTCAGCTTCTAGCCTGGAATTCAGACCTTGAATAGCAAGTCTCCCAGGGGCAGCCTTACCCAGAATTGAGCCCACAGTTGGAGAGAATCAGCCCTATCATCTCATCACTGTTTCAGGGCAGAGAACAGAATACATGGTACCTACAGGTCCCCTCTCAGATGTATATAATAATGATAGCTGCTGTTTACTGAGTGTCCATCCTGTATCAGGCACCATGCTGAGTGTCATAATTTCCAGTCTTCAAAACAACCTGGCTGGGTAAGGTGGCTCATGCCTGTAATCTCAGCACTTTGGGAGGCCAAGGTGGGCGGATCACCTGAGGTCAGGAGTTTGAGACTAGCCTGACCAACGTGATGAAACCGCGTCTCTACTAAAAATACAAAAAAATCAGCCAGGCATTGTGGCCTGTGCCTGTAATCCCAGCTACTTGGGAGGCTGAGGCAGGAGAACCATTTGAACCTGTGAGGCAGAGGTTGCAGTGAGCCAAGATCATGCCACTGCACTCCAACCTGGGCAACACAGTGAGACTCTGTCTCAA